TTTGTTGCAATAGCTTTTTCATATTGAATACTAAAACTTTTTAGATATTTAGACATATTAAGTAGATGTTCATAATATCCACTTGACATTTTATCATATGACTTCTGTAGTTAGTTATGAGTCTTTGAAGCATGCTCACAAAGGTTCTTTTGTTGATATCATTTTCATACTGGTCAAAACTTTTTTTTTGCTTTGACCAGCTTTGGAGGAGATATTTTCAAAGAATTAATAAAAAATAACACAGAAATTCACTTTCTAGCTCATCTAGCCCCAATCATCATGTCAGGCATTGTCATTACTAAAAAACATTAAATGTCTTCTAAACTGAGAAACAATTTCCACATTTAACTGAAATCTTTTACATATGATACTGACAATCCCCCACAAAGTAATATAAATAGAACCATACAAATAGTAAGCAAATACATGTTCTCAGATACCATCTCCCATATAAAAAAAAATCACATTAAGAAAAAAATGAACCTATTATGTGTTCCTCTCCTATCTACAAAATGTATCCAAAATGAAAGATGTGGAACATATATATATTCTATCATAATCATTTGGTAATTAATGCAATTAGTATCTGTTGAACATAAAAAACTAAATATTACATAAACAACACCCCTAATGCTCATGTTGGTTGTCATTGTGCAACACAGTTAATACATAGAAAACATAAAACATAGAACTCCTTTTGTCATATAAAACACTGTCAAACATCCAATCATACTGTCCACACTGATCTGTGTCCACACTTGTAAACTATATAAGAAATGTAATTTTATGTCAAAATCTGTATATGATATACAAAATGTACACTGTTAATTATGTAAAAATGTGTATGATATACAAAATGTACACTGTTAATTATGTAAAAATGTGTATGGTAGTAAAAAGGAAAGAATATGGTTGATTTGTTAAAGATAATTGTTCTAAGTTGTAAAAAAGAATGTTTTTGAGAGTGATTATTATTTCATAATATTGTTAACATGATTAAAAGATTTTTATTTTCAGATTCCTTTTGCACTACACACTTATAAATTTGTTTCTCCTAATATTGGAGAACAAGTTGATAATAAATCTAAAAAAGAACTACACAATGTAATAAGTGTTTAATCAGGAAACCTGAATTAATGGTACAGGGAAAATATAGATTCACACAGATAGTAATCTGTTCATTGGTATAAACTTGACATTTTGCAGCAATTTGCATTACAGGCATATTTATTACGAATTGCATAGATTAGTTGTTATTTCTAATACATAGTTTGACTTCATTAATGATTTTTGTATAAAATATGTCTTTTCTGTTGCTATTATGACTTGTTTGTAATAAATTCATTTGACTAACATCAAAACAAAGTGGACGTGTCTTACACATATTAAAAAAAACCAAGAGGACTAGATTATTGTACCCTCTTAACTGGTAGGAGTGAATTGAATTTCATTTTATTTGTCTGTCCATCCATTCTTCTGTTTGCTTAGCAGACTTCAAATTCTTAGCCAAAAATAATTTATTTCAAAGATACACTCAGACAATCTAAAATATGTAAATCACATAATGTAATTGACCTATAAATCTTACCATTCTATTTATCCGTCAAATTTTCTTTACATGCCATAATAATCTATCATATCTATTAGGCATCTCCATGAACAACTCCTCTGAAACAATTACCTTCATTAATTAAAATTTAAAAAAAAACCACACACATACTCATAAAAAACATTTTGGGTAACACAACTTTTTCAATATAATTTTTCACTTTTTGTTTTTTTTTCAATAACCCATTTACATTTTTGTTCAAACATTAAATATGGTAGCTTTTAGGAAAGACACAACGATGAGAACGAAGGAATCATAATTGAAAGATTATGATGGATCAGTCATCTTTTAATATAGCTTTGAGGAAATGAAGTTTTTTTCAAAATTATATATATATAAAGTGTTATTTACATATGTTAATGTTTTGTACAGCGATTGCATGTAGACAAATATTTCTCCTTGTTTCAGTGTTACTAATATATCCTGCCGCATCAGCTTATTTTTCTATAAGAATGCAATCGGGATATATGAGTTTTTCAACATAAACGTCGATCTTTACCATATGCATATACTCATAGGATCTAAATATACACTTATGATACGACCAAAAAGGTGAACTTCTATAGTTTTATTCACACCTGTATCTGATTCGAAGCAGACGTTTCACATTATGTTATAGACTAGTCTATTGAAGATGAAAATAAGTTTATAATTTGGTGTATCTGAAGCATTGTTTTTTACTTTAATCAGAATCGGTAAATTCCAAAAGTGTAAAAGCTAAAGATATATGACAACTTGAATACGTGAAGAGCTTTATGACAGAAAGGAATCGTATCAAGAATAGACATTTAAGGTCAACTTTGCCTGAGGGAGTTTGAACCTTAGTTTCGTATTAGGAGTTTGAACCTTAATTTCTTATTAATAATTTTTTGAAAGATACTGAAATGTAAGTAATTTAGGAGATTTGAATTTAGCTGAATTGGAATACTTACATGTTATGTTTTTTGGAGTTAAACGTCACTTTCAGTTACCTTTGCTATACCATGTTGGACGGTTTTGACTGGTGAATGAAGCCGGGTTACTCATAGAGAACCATCCATCTTCATCAGTAAAACTGGCATTCCTTGTCAATTTATGTCGGAGTCTCGGAATCGAAGACAACACGCCATGAGCGGAGTTCGAAATCATAAACTCAGAGTTACTTTATTTGAACTACTGAGACCATTCATCCACCGAATCTCCATTACATTTAAGGGATACTATAGTATGCGTTTTTTAAATGCTGCAGACTTAGATATTTAAATGTTCGGGCATGTGTTCTTGTAAGACAATGCCCTCTTCTAGTTACTGTCTAAATTTTCAATGTAAATTACACATTCTTTTTTTTTTAGAACTATCTTTAGAATAGGAATAAGAAAGGTCAACATTATTAGGTTATTAAGTTTTAACTTATTGTTAAGTTAAAAGCTTATTTCTAAAGCACATTTTTTCACTTTAAAAACTGTCAGCCTAAAGCAAACACAGTTTAAAACAACAAGCAACTATACAGCTAGTCACTTTATGTACCATAACCATATTTACGGTAATATTTCGGGAACAAATAAGTGTTATTCACCGTTTACAAATCTAATGTTATCTGGGTTATAAAAAAAGCTACACCAAAAGATTGTAACTGAGGAACACACCGTACACAATGGATGTCTGGTCATTATACTTTTAGACGCAAAAAAATAATTCCAACCCAAACCCAAAACATAGAAACATATAAATTTACGTTGAACCCTTGTTCTATAAATATCACATCACATATCTATTTTTAATCATCGCACTAAAAATATAGCACACCTGATTTATTTCCCTGTACACATCTGTAAACATAATTTTTATACGGTTTGTGTACAATAAGTTTTGATAGACCATGAGTTTCCGGAGATTGACGCCGCACAGAAGAAAAAATTTAAACAGGTAAACATATATAATGATGTATTCAACATATTAACATGATTAATGCGTTACCTGTAATGAGATAATTTTTGACTGGAGTATTTACAAAATGGGATAAAATTTCTGTGATGTAATTAATTTCAGTGTTACTAATATATCCTGCCGCATCAGCTTATTTTTCTATAAGAATGCAATCGGGATATATGAGTTTTTCAACATAAACGTCGATCTTTACCATATGCATATACTCATAGGATCTAAATATACACTTATGATACGACCAAAAAGGTGAACTTCTATAGTTTTATTCACACCTGTATCTGATTCGAAGCAGACGTTTCACATTATGTTATAGACTAGTCTATTGAAGATGAAAATAAGTTTATAATTTGGTGTATCTGAAGCATTGTTTTTTACTTTAATCAGAATCGGTAAATTCCAAAAGTGTAAAAGCTAAAGATATATGACAACTTGAATACGTGAAGAGCTTTATGACAGAAAGGAATCGTATCAAGAATAGACATTTAAGGTCAACTTTGCCTGAGGGAGTTTGAACCTTAGTTTCGTATTAGGAGTTTGAACCTTAATTTCTTATTAATAATTTTTTGAAAGATACTGAAATGTAAGTAATTTAGGAGATTTGAATTTAGCTGAATTGGAATACTTACATGTTATGTTTTTTGGAGTTAAACGTCACTTTCAGTTACCTTTGCTATACCATGTTGGACGGTTTTGACTGGTGAATGAAGCCGGGTTACTCATAGAGAACCATCCATCTTCATCAGTAAAACTGGCATTCCTTGTCAATTTATGTCGGAGTCTCGGAATCGAAGACAACACGCCATGAGCGGAGTTCGAAATCATAAACTCAGAGTTACTTTATTTGAACTACTGAGACCATTCATCCACCGAATCTCCATTACATTTAAGGGATACTATAGTATGCGTTTTTTAAATGCTGCAGACTTAGATATTTAAATGTTCGGGCATGTGTTCTTGTAAGACAATGCCCTCTTCTAGTTACTGTCTAAATTTTCAATGTAAATTACACATTCTTTTTTTTTTAGAACTATCTTTAGAATAGGAATAAGAAAGGTCAACATTATTAGGTTATTAAGTTTTAACTTATTGTTAAGTTAAAAGCTTATTTCTAAAGCACATTTTTTCACTTTAAAAACTGTCAGCCTAAAGCAAACACAGTTTAAAACAACAAGCAACTATACAGCTAGTCACTTTATGTACCATAACCATATTTACGGTAATATTTCGGGAACAAATAAGTGTTATTCACCGTTTACAAATCTAATGTTATCTGGGTTATAAAAAAAGCTACACCAAAAGATTGTAACTGAGGAACACACCGTACACAATGGATGTCTGGTCATTATACTTTTAGACGCAAAAAAATAATTCCAACCCAAACCCAAAACATAGAAACATATAAATTTACGTTGAACCCTTGTTCTATAAATATCACATCACATATCTATTTTTAATCATCGCACTAAAAATATAGCACACCTGATTTATTTCCCTGTACACATCTGTAAACATAATTTTTATACGGTTTGTGTACAATAAGTTTTGATAGACCATGAGTTTCCGGAGATTGACGCCGCACAGAAGAAAAAATTTAAACAGGTAAACATATATAATGATGTATTCAACATATTAACATGATTAATGCGTTACCTGTAATGAGATAATTTTTGACTGGAGTATTTACAAAATGGGATAAAATTTCTGTGATGTAATTAACGAGTTGATGAAAAACCCCTCACCTTTCATATGTAATTGCAATTGAGAACAAAGTATATGCCATATTAACCAAAGCTAATTGATTTTAATCAAATGTATATCACTGTCTTAATATTATTTTATAAGGTCACAGGTTACAAGTTGCTGGTCAATATTTGGGTAATGATGAGTTATAGATACGGTAATTTTCGCAAACTTTAAGCCTTTGAAAGTCCAGTTTTTTTCTCTTCAAAATAGTGTTAGGAGTAATTTCTAATCTGTATTACATGGTTCACTTAAACACAAATATTAGTACAACTTGGTTAATAAATTGATCAGAGAAGCCATGTGTTAAAATATCCCGAGGCAAATAGCTCACATTCTTCAACCTTGGTTCATTAAAAATGCAGAATACAAAATAATACGAAACTAAAGTGTTGAGCGATGTTTATAAAAGAAAATGTAGTGTTAAAGTATGAGACCACAATCAAACGACAAAAAAGAGATATAGAAGTCAACATACGATAGTCTGCACAGACAGCATGTCAATAACATATGTCCATCTCTTAAAAACCGATGATAAGCTACATATATTTACTGCTATACATGTATATATTTATTGTTACAAATACCGTGTTTATCCGAAAATGGTGTTTGGTATTTTTCTTTATCGTCTTCTGGTCCTTCTAAATTGTTATTTCCTGTTTTCATCAAACATATTCGTGCATGTGGTGTATGTATGCACGCCCGTTTGTCAGTCCTGCTCCAGACTCCATGCTAAGTCTTATCAGTGTCGTTATTACGTAAATATGCTATCCAAATATAACTTAACCTCAGAATACATCACACCTTTGTTTATACAAAATTATAGTTATACAAACTATTTAATCTCATCAAAGATACCAGGTAAAAAAACTTGTGCCTGGCCTGAAGGATAGTGTTCCTAAAATGTATTTCTGAACGACTATGATTGTACTTAAAGTTTTTTTAAATTTTAAATATGGAGAAAAAGCTAGTATCAAGTCGATATGATTTCACAATTTGACTTCCACATACAACACATGAACATATGAAACTTCATTCAAAGAATGGTATAACTTCACATGTTTATGAATTGTAATGAAAGGTTTACTGTACTAACCTGTGTTTTGTTTAAATGAACTAGTTGTGTAATCAATAATATTTGTTTGTCGAGGCCCCTCCCCTCTGACAAATAACAAAAATTAGAAGCTACATATCAAATCACTCAATGTAAAGTGTGGAAAAGTTCACAGACCCTAACTGTCATCTGTTTAAATTTTCCTTCGAAAATCATTTGTAAATCTGACAAAGAAGGTTAAAACTGTTTTATGTCCAACAAAAGAATATGCTCGATGGAAGCAAAAATAGTTTCAGTATCTCCCTCATGCATAGCTCTGATTCCGTGTCCGTCTTTGGCTTTACTTTTGGTCAATTTTTGTTTTATCAGCTCTCCTAAGTTTGTAAACAATTTTTGGATTTTCTAATATTTCGGCCCCGAATATTACTGAAGAAAGATTAATGGTCTAAATGCGCATCTAGTACAGTTAAATTGGTACCGATAAGGTTATTATTCAACAGAAAACAATAATTTCTATGTTCAACAATGCAATTGCTGGTGACATTTTGATTCGAAAACTATTGTTACAATCGACGGAAAATGTTGACAAAAAACTAAAATAATTAAAATCTATATAATTCACTTATAAACTTTCATATACATAGAAATCCTTTATTTTCCAAGAGTGAATTGGATCAACAGTTTACCTTAACAAATCACTTCTAAATCATTTCATAACAGTACTTACTGCTTAAATATGTAGTAAGTGAATTGGTTCAGTTTACCAATCGATATGAGTTAGTGATTAAAAAGGTCAAGTATACACATCAACAAACTCCTGGAAAAGTGTTTGATGTAATATAATAACTCGGGATATTTTGAATATAATACATGAATATTGAAATGCTTTGCTTGTAGAAAACTAGAAATTCCATCAACTGAAAATGACGTATGTGCAGAATTTAATTATGATGCCGTTAAAAATGCAATCACCGATGTCGAAAATGGTTTAAACGAATTACGGAAGAAAGTAAAGGCAACAAAAAAGGCCAGGGAACATAACAGGAGAAACAACTTTGAAGATGCTAAACAACTTTTATTAGACAACATTCACAGTAAATTTAACTCACTTAATTCAGTACGTCTCATTTCCATGATATTATTTCATGGTATTATTTTACATATATTGATTTAATAGATACATTATCAAAGGCATGCCAATTCAAAAATCAACCCACATATATCCAAATGTTGTCAATGTAGCAAGATGTTTAACTTTTAAAAGGAATAAAATATAGCATAATGTTAAGATGTGTATTGATAGATTAAAAAAGAGATAAAATGGATGTTTGTACTCGTATGAATATCGACTTATACGTACAATAAAGGACCAACTTCTATATACACGGAAAAATAATAAACTCATAGTATACCTTTTTTTTAAGCGATACGATATAAAGGGGGACTTTTAATCATAAGTTGAAGGAAAGGCAACAGTCGAAAAAGAAAACAAAAAGAAAACTTAACACAGAACATTAAGGATTGAGCAACACTAATACAAATAATACCACCAGAATCAGGGGAAAAAGTCAGGTTCTTCGAAAGTGAAAGTACTGTCTACTCCACTTAAGCTTACCATCATGTTGTTCAGGAGAAATAAAAGATCAGTGGTTAGTTACTTTCCATGACAAGTAAAAAAACAAAATTAATGCAATGCCACTGTTGAAGGTAAAAAAAAACCAAGTCAAAGTAGAACTGTTGAATAATCATCCTTTAGAGAATAAAAAAATATAGAAACCCTTCCACAATTAGAGTGGTGCCAGATTTTCATTTTGCGGGATAACATAAAGAAATTATAATGTACGGAGTATTTATCTTTTTATCATATACTTCAAGGAGTGTAACATATAGTGTTAGTGTATTATACACATTTTAATTAGCCATTTATTTCGTATACATGTGTAATCATTGTAGGCTTTTCACGTAACATTTAGTGAAATAACGCAACTGGAAGAAACCTTTAGGAAATTAGAAGAAGATTACAGGGTTTTGAAAAAAGAACAGTCAAACCAGGAGAGGAAGATTAAAGATTTAACTTTTTCGCTAGAAGAACGAGACAAAAAGCTTAAAGATGTCGAAATTAAACTCTCACAAGGAAAAATACCTAATTCTTCACAGGAAAGGTACTTTATGTAAAAAGATATTACTACTACTCAGTCCTCCCCCTTTATAATTTTTGAAAGGTATACAAAGAAAGGTACATTTATTAAAGTACTGACGTATTATGCACTAGGATGTCTAAAACATAACATATTGTTGACAAGTTAATGATAGAGATTCCTTTCCCCTTTTAAACTGATCGCTGCAACTCTGTCAGTTTTACAGATTTTTTTCCCCCGCGTAACGCGTTGCGGGGGACATAGAAATACCGGGCGTCCGTCCGTGTGTCCGTGTGTCCGTCCGTCCGTCCGGTCTTGTTAGCGCTCTCACAGGTACAATTCCTGCCAGATTTTTATAAAACTTATACTATAGGTCCATATCAGCAATATCTCGGACAAGTTCTATTATGGTGGACGATCGATTTTTTTTAAAAGAGTTATGACCCTTGGAAATATTAAATCTATGAAAAATTGCCTCATTAGCGCTCTCACAGGTACAATTCTTGCCAGATTTTTTATACGACCGCAAAAAATTTTTGCGGTCGTATATTGGTATGACGTTGGCGTCGTCGTCGTCGTCCGAAGACACATTGGTTTTCGCACTCTAACTTTAGTTTAAGTGAATGGATCTCTATGAAATTTTACCAAAAGGTTCAATACCACAAAAGGAAGGTTGGGATTGATTTTGGGGGTTATGGTACCAACAGTTAAGGAATTAGGGGGCAAAAAAAGGGCCAAAAATAAGCATTTTTGTAACTTCCAGACATAACTTATGTGTTAGTGTATGGATCTCTCTGACATTGTACCACAAGGTTCCATATCACACAGGGAATGCTGGGATTGATTTTGGGGGTAATTGCTTCAAAATATTAGGAATTAGGGGCCAAAAAGGGGCAAAAAAACAAGCATTTTTCTAGTTTCATGACAATAACTTGTGTGTAAGTGTATGGATCTTTCTGAAATTGTACTACAAGGTTCTATATCACAAAGGGAAAGCTGGAATTGAGTTTGGGGGTAATTGCCCAAAACGTTTAGGAATAAGGGGCCAAAAATAAGAATTTTTCTAGTTTCCAGACAATAACTTGTGTTCAAGTGTATGGATCTCTCTGAAATTGTACTGCAAGGTCCATACCACAAGGGAAGGCTGGGATTGATTTTGGGAGTAATTGCTTCAAAATTTTAGGAATTAGGGGCCAAAAAAGGGGCAAAATTTTTTTTTCTAGTTTCAGGACAATAACTTGTGTGTAAGTGTATGGATCTTTATGAAATTGTACTACAAGGTTCCATATCACAAAGGGAAAGCTGGGTTTGAGTTTGGGGGTAATTGCCCTAAACGTTTAGCAATTTGGGGCCAAAAAGGGGCAAAAAAACAAGCATTTTTCTAGTTTCCAGACATTAACTTGTGTTCAGGTGTATGGGATCTCTCTGAAATTGTACTGCAGGTACCATACCACAAAGGGAAGGCTGGGATTGAGTTTGGGGTGATGAATCATAAGGGGGATAAAAAAATTGGGGGTGGGATTTTTTTTTCTTTAAAATTTTCCATTTTAAATTGGTTATTTCTGATTTATATATAAAAGCAAATAATAATGATATGGTTTGAAAAGGTAAATTAAAAATTCTTAAGTTCTTAGACCACATTCATTCTGTGTCAGAAACCTGTGCTGTGTCAAATATTTAATCACAATCCAAATTCAGTGCTGTATCAAGCTTGAATGTTGTGTCCATACTTGCCCCAACTGTTCAGGGTTCGACCTCTGCGGTCGTATCAAGCTGCGCCAAGCGGAGCATTTTATATAAAACTTATACTTTTATAGGTTAATATCAACAATATCTCGGACAAGTTCTATAATGGTGGACGATAGACTTTTTTTAAAAAGAGTTATGCCCCTGGGAAATATTAAATGTATGGAAAATGGCCTCGTTAGCGCTCTCACGGGTAAAATTCTTGCCAGATTTTTATAAAACTTATACTATAGATTACTATCAGCAATATCTCGGACAAGTTCTATAATGGTGGACGATCGATTTTTTTAAAAAGAGTTATGCCCCTTGGAAATTTTAAATTTATGGAAAATGGCCTCGTTAGCGCTCTCACGAATAAACTTCTTGCCATATTTTTATAAAACTTATACTATAAGTTAATATCAGCAATATCTCGGACAAGTTCTATTATGGTGGACGATCGACTTTTTTTTTAAAGAGTTATGACCCTTGGAAATATTAAATTTATGGAAAATAGCCTCGTAAGCGCTCTCACGGGTACAATATTTTATAAAACTTATAGTATACTATAAGTAATGCCCTTAAAGGTCTGTTTGAAATATTTAGTATACAACAAAAAAACTTTTTTGTCCCCCGTGCATGCATTTTATTTCATTTTATTTATAAATTGTTTGAAAGAACAACAAAAAAAAGTTTGTTTTTTTAGTTATTGCCCCTGGATATATGAAATATGTGCAATGCGGGGGATATTGGAACTCCTTTTATTTGTTTGCATTGTGTCCAGTTTTACTATTTCATGCATACTAGCGACGATAGAAAATTAAACTTGAGATAAATTGTCAATGTATGATGGAAAAGAATGTCGATAGAGGGGACTAATGGTTTGAACAGAATATACCACTGAAAAACTAGGAACATGGGGTTTGCCTCACAACAGAAAAAGTATGAAATCCAAGGAGTCATTGCAAAATGTTCTTTTACAAACAAAACGCATGTGACTATCTGAACACAGAAGATGGGATTTGATGTATTCCAAAATTTCGCCCAAAAGTTACTATATGAAAACAGCTAAACATTGTCCCCTCCCCAAGACAAATGTTCTTTTTACCAGACGAGAATTCAAGATGACAATTTTCAATTAAGGCAAATGTAGTATACCGCTGTTCAATAGTCATAAATCGATTTAACCGGGTCACAAACCAAATCCGAGGAAAACACATCAACTACAAGAGGAAAACAACGGAACAACAAAAACACTGAACTGCTACAAAAACAAACTCCAACATACATAGAAACGGACTATTTGATAACAACTGCCATATTCCTGACTTGGTACAGGACATTTTAAGAAAAAATGGTGGGTTGAACCTGGTTTTATGGCTTGCCAAACCTCCCGCTTATATGGCAATGTTAAAGATACCGCTAAAATGACAACATTACGTGACAGGAATGCAGTATAAATAAACGCAAGAACACTCAGGACAGTATGTAATGGTGTTATTTTTATGTATTTTCTAATCATTACAAGAACATTAATATAGAATTGTGTTAGTAATGGTGTAATTATTTGTATTTTCTAACCATGTCGGTTTTTCTTCTAAATCAAAACTGTGTAAAAACAAATAAATCCTGTGCATATAGTTGCTTTAAACTAGAAATCATATAAATGAACTAGCTGATTAATTATCTTAACTTTTACATACATATAGAAAATAAACTAAAGTCATTCTTTTAAGATGGCTACAGTAAGCTGTCGTTTTCCAGATACCCTTAACAGCCTTTGATGCCCTTTAAATGTTATTTTGTTTGGTCATTTGTGGTCTATGTATAGTTGTCTAACTGGCAATCATACCAACTTACATTACATTTTATTACTTTCTTTTTCAATTATAAATTACAGAATATGCATTTCGTAATTTCAAAACCGTCTTTCATAATTGTTTGTCTAGTTACTAATATCTGTATTTTTTTCTTTCTTATTAAATGCATTGACACTTATTTTTAATATATCGTCCACATGTTGGAGTTACATGTTTTCAATTTTTTCACAGCCCATTAAAAGAGGATTACAGCATGTTAAAAAAAGAACAGTCAGAACAAAAGATGAGAGTCAAAAATTTAACTTCTTTGTTGGAAGAGCGAGACAGAAAATTAATGGAAAAAGATGTTCAAATTAAACTCTTGCAAGAAAATGTATCAAATTTAACAAAGAAATGGTAATGTTAAAAGTATTGTTCTCGTACTCAATCCTTACCCTTTTTATCAATGAGTTGCTGCAAATGTTCTCTCAAGCATGAATTGTGTATACACCGTTTGCTGTCGACTGCATATTCCTGATCTCATTGTTCTTTTTTCAAAACTCTGCAATCTTTTCATAATTGTATACAATTTGCAATTGACATATAAAGGCTATTTCTGACAGTGAAACACGCAAAAGCAGTTCCGCTTGACGAATTATTGAACCTGTCAAATAAAATACCTTCCTTATCTCAAATGTTAAAAAAATATCATGTGTCTTATTTTTGTGCATACTCTAAAAATTTAGGTCATTTTCATGATAAAAGTTTGTGAGATTGAATCAATTTTTAGATTAAGATTGTTGTTTTTATGAAGATCCTTCCTAATGATCCGGTTTGTTTTATTCCTTTTTCTATATTTTTGTGTTCAACTTGGTCTATCAAACGTTAATTTCTTTATGTTCAAATCTAATAACTGATAAGAATCTTAAAACGCTGTTTCTTGAAAAGTAATCTCATTATCGATATACAATAGTTTTGTATCAATTTTGCAATAATTTGACTAAGTATATCACGTTAATGATTAATATAACACTTTCAAAGGGAATATAGTTATAAAATTTTTATTAATTTATAATTATCTTACATCTCTTCTTTCAAATTTAATCTTTAAAAAAATGAAAACAACACTTTATACAGTTCATGCGTCCAAAGCGCTTTTCTGGATCTAGCTTCATCAGGAGAAGTCAAAGCCGAATATTTGAAGCCAAGGCTGTATAAGGACCGAAACAGTTGAAGAGCTATAGGACCAAGAAGGAACTAAGATTATAGCTTAATCCATCTAAAATCAAGTTTGCTAACTTTGCTTTTACATACACAAATCATTAGATATTCAAGCGTTCACAAATTTGCTTAACCCTGCCACATTATTTATGTGCCTTTCCGATCGTTTATTTGTTGCTGTCTCTCATATTTATTTTTCGTTGATTGTTTTATAATAAAGCCCCCATTTGGTTTTTTTCGTTTGAATTGTTTCACATTTTGTAAAGTCGGGACCCTTTTTAGCTGACTATACGGTACGGGTTTTCCTCATTGTTAAAGGCCGTATTCTAGTATTGATAAACAATCAGGGATCAGAACTAAATGTGTAGTTAGTACCGAAGACTAAAAAGCACTGGTAGTTTTCAAATAGGCACAGTTTTGAGAATTCGTTTGAAGGGGATCTTTAGTCGGTAGAATTTCAGCAGTACCAAGTTTTGAAATGAACACCTTACGGGTAAACCTTGCATATAAATTATTGTATGAAACCAAGACTTTTCAGTTGACCTTTAAAATAGGACGTTGTTTTTTTCCCATCTTTTTTTGCTATCGAATCGATGCGTACACAATGAAAAACACTTCAAACGTTTTGTATGTTTATTTTTGGTTGATTGAGCTATTTCTTCTTCTATTTTTAGCGCGAAAACAGACGATGATAGAGTAAATGTATCTGCATACACTGAATTGTCGGATCCTAATAGACCAATAAAAATAGCAGAAAAGATCTCAGATATTTTTGAATATGAATGGCCGAAAAGTATTGAAGCCTTAGAAGCTTTTGATTTGGAAGAAAAAGAGTGTGTCAATATATTATTGCATTTTCTTACAGTATGTAGTTCCATATTTTGTAATCCACGAAAAAACAAATTCTAATTTCTTATCTATGCGTCGATATTTAGTAACCATAGTCTTTAACTGCATAAAAACGGTTTAACCCAAAACGTATCAACCAATAAAAATAAAGACCATTTGAGGAAAACCCACAATTAAATGAGATCTACTAGTCAATTTGCTGTGAAAAAAAATCTGTGTAAAAATCCTCAACCCTTTTTAAATAAATAAGTTTTGATTTCATTGACAGTTGAACAGGATGATACTAATATGGACATATATTGACGGATATTAAAAACGCAACACTAAAATATTCTTTTTAATTCTCATTTTCACATATGCAATTTTTGCAAAATGAATGTATAAACATTAAATTCATTTATTACTTATGTTAAAAAAAAGTTTGCAGTTCGAAAGTTGAACTGATTACGTCATGTTTAATGTTCAAAATATGTGGTATGCACTGAAACCCCTGTTTTACCCTTATCGATGGAGGTGTCACCGTCGAAGGCAATGACTGCCTGTAACCAACGCCTAAATGATTGACAGAAAAGTCCACCAGTTCTGTTAGGCATCATTTGAGTTCTGTTTTGTACTACATTACATCAGTCCCACCCATTTCAGTTTATTTTGGCAATTATGCGGTTTACACTTAAGGGCTTAAAACTTTTTTTCTGCAGTCAATTCTTTGGCGCTTTAATATATGGGAAACATTTATGGTGTGAATCTATCTGCCATGGCATTCGACTACTTGATTAGCAGTTGACGTTGCGGCCGTTATCATGTCTCGCAAATGACGTTGCGTTATCAAATTGTATTGACGTGGCGTTGTCACAACTTATTGATCTGGTCACAGGTGGTCATCATCAAATCCCGTCTGCCTGTACTGTACTGTAAGGACAGTGAGAGGAGTTGTTCTGACGTGAAATTGTCTAGCAATAGCACGTTCACATATTCCTGCCTGCAATATTCTTATGGTGTGATTTAGATTTTCATTGCTCAGTCTCGGCAATATGGAGATGCAACATTGTTTTACTGATTTAAGTGTGGGTATGGATTGAAAGAATTGTTTCACGAAGAAAAAAACCTTAAAAAAACATTTATGGGTTTCAAATATCACTTTAAAAAATTCGTGCGACTTCAAAAATCCTGTATGTTCAATTATCTCAAGCAGTCAGGTAATCATTTTATACATTTTTCTTAACCGAAAGAAGTATGGTAAGCATGAATAGTTGTTTACTTATATGAGGATCAATCATGATTTGGTAAAAAAAAAATCACCAAAATGTGTGTTGCGTTTTTAAAGTCCGTCAGTATATAAGTATAGAAGGCCACTTGTGATGTCAATTTCATGTCAATAAAATGTTTAAATAGGCATATTTTAGTTTAAATGGCAACTTTGTAAACAGCTGTTGTCAAAATTCAATTTAAGGAAAGGCCTTACGCAAGAAATATTTTACCAACATTGACAACTCTGTATGGACATATTGATGAACTTTTTTTTTCGGTGAGGTCTTCTAATATCACAATAATTATGACTTTCAGTCAGATTGTATAATCTCTTTGTAGTATCCTACTTTTTTCTGTGATATTATAATGCATAAATTTTCATGAAAAGAATGTTGGTTAAATGACTGTGTTTCTAGTCAAACATGTTTTTTCAGAGAGATTTATATTGTGCATTGGTTTCCGAATTGTTCATTAATTTTAGTGAGATGATTTTATATTTGTGTCTCTTATCTAACCCTCTTTTTGACTAGTCTATTTACATAATTGAGTGTTTGATTTATATATTTTGAGGATACATATGATGCATGTGGAAAGATCGTATCAGATTTGGACCATCATTTAAAACAAGCTCTGATTGTTCCTGAGTGTGAAGAAGACGAAGAGGAGGTAAATTCAGTTACAGATTTGGTGCACAGCGTATGAATATACACAGATTGTTATTTTTGTTTAATAAAACTGACATGTTCTAAAACAATGGACTCAGCAAAAGAACTAATTTTTGATATTTTAAAATATGATACCCAAATGCAATAAAGATAATTGTCGCTATTACATAGATTTAGTGAAGATTATATAGATAAAAAGTGAAAGTAAGATAATTTTTTTTGTCAAATGTTACATTTAGGTAAATATTATATTAGTTTTAAGGTTAATTTACTATGTTATCCATTTAGGCTCCAAATCAAGTTGTTCCTGCGGAAATATTACAAACATTGAAGAACTTGAGACTGCAGTTGACAGAAAACAATCTTGAAATATTACAAAAGGTAACCACAATTGCTTTTAACTTTACATGCAGCTTGAATATTTCAGTTTCGTATGATAAATGATTGGTGTTTATCAACAATTGAAAATGACATAGTTGAATGGCGAATTTGATTGCAATACTGAAATATAAGGGGACGACCATTTGATATTCTGGGGGGGGCCAGGAGGATTTTGAAAATAAATAACTCAGCCTTGATAATCACAAAAATAAATGGTTTGTTCTGTGGTAGTTTGAAAATAAATTACCTGACTTGCAATGTATTGAAAATAAATAACTCAGCAGGTCTAATCGAAAGTATGAGATGGCACCAGATTCTTCATAAATTCATCTTTTTTCCAAAAAAAAAAAAATATAAATATTATTTAAATATACTTGAAATGTCAGAAAATTGGTTTCATTTAACTTGAGGTTAATTGTCTCAGGAACACTTACCTCACTTTTATTAAATCAGGGCCGTAACTACATTGCGACAAATGCCTCATGTAGGAAATTTCAAAACCAAACGCTTGTCTCCATATCAAATTGTGTTCACCGTGAGTGCCTTGCAAGAAGCAAGTTCTGTTCTCCCTCAGACGTAGCCCCTGATTTTTCGGGATCAATGTTTCTTATTTATTTGTCTTTTGTTCATTGATTGCCCTTCTGTATTCTGTTAGTGTTGCATTCATTTTGTAATTTAGTAATTTTATTATTAACTTGATCATGAGTTTAAAAAAACACAGCAGCCACAGACTTAACTTTGTGAATTACATTTTTGCTTTATCATGCATATTTGTCTTTTGATGTTGTTCCTAGAAACTTAAGTCTTATTCTGAATCTATAACGTGATTTTGCTTTGAGACCTAAATATTGTCATAAAATTATTAAAACAGAACTTGCATTTTCAGTTTAAGAAAGGGTCTGGGGAACACCCAGAAGGCATGATTTTGCATCATTTGTTCTATAGCTTCTTGGGCCTTCAGCGGTTCAAAAACCCTTAAAAAAAAAATTTTGCCTCGCTCCGCTCGGCGAAACATGTTTGCCAATACCTTTAAAAGAGCCTTAGTTACAACCAAACTTTAATACTGTGTATGTATGCAATACATGTATATGCATTGGGGAATATAGAAGATTCATTTCTGCAGAGGATAATAATTAATTCTGATTAAATGGTACATAATGACTTGACTATACATGAATTATTTATAATAAACAAATAATTTAAAAATTGTATGTTTTCGAATATTATAAATATAGTTTGTGAAAATAAATAATCAGTCCCTTGCTTTAATGAAAATGAAAAATCTTGCTTCAATAGTGCAGAAAATAGATAATCTGTCCTCTTAGTTTACAAAAATAAATAACCGATCCAAAACAAATCCTCCTGGCCCCCCCCAGAATATCAAATGGTCGTCCCCTAAGTAGCGGTGAAATGTGTAAAATGTACTTTATTCATTTTCTTTTTAAAATTATACCGTGAATCGACATGAGCAAAACGTACTTCTAGTTTTTAACAAATGTATTTGCATCAAAACGTAGACAATAAATGTTAGAATATACGAATTTAAACATGTAAGAATTAGGAAAAAAAGTAAATAATGAAGACAAATCCAAAATGTTATTTTATGAGGGACATTTATAATAAGAAAAAAAGCTGATGTGGGACTAACGTCAAAGGAGTAACAAATTTAAGCACAATCTGATTTAAAAAAAAAACACAGATCCTTTGTCCAAGCTTTGCTTTCAAGGATCTGTAAACGTTCCATTCTGTCCTTTTTAAAGACTTTTTTCGGGATCCTCAGGTTTTATCGGATTAATACACTCTTTCAAAAATTTGAAGGCTAAAATGTCATTGGCTGATTTAATAATTACCAGAACAGAAAGTAAAACGGAGTGTTGTCAGATCCTTGTAAGACTGGACACATGATCTGTATCTTAATCAGATTGAACAAAACAACGACACAATTAACCCTCAAAATACATCAAGAGGTCAGTATATGGTGATCAACAGTAAGTAAGAGTTTATCCCACATATCCAGCTCGTGATTGCCTAAGTATAGAAGACAAAACGTAAATACATCAAGAGGTCAGTATATGGTGATCAACAGTAACTATAAGAGTTTATCCCACATATCCAGCTCGTGATTGCCTAAGTACAAATGTATAGAAGACAAGACGTAAATACATTCAACAGGAACTAAGCAAAGGATCTGTCATCACAATCCAATTACTTAAAAGACAAAGCCTAGCACTATGATACTAACATTGATGATCACTGAGGCGGTTCCTCTCATAGTCTGAACCCCCTCTAACTAGTACTATAATAACCTCACACACCTGCTGTTTAAGATTTGAATGTAATATTTGTACTCTATTGTAGAAGCTTCGGAGTCATCTGAGAAAAGCTAGGACAAACGTAACTGATGAACACATCACAGCCTGTGCTAAATATGTGACAGATTGCATAAAATATGTTTGGATGATACAGATACAGGATCCCCAAGTTTATATTGAATGGGATTTTCCCAGTGGAGCGAAGATTGAATGGGATCTCTTTCGATCCTATACAAAATCTGGAGATTATATTGACTATATTGTGTGGCCTGTTATATATGAACACAAAGGTGGTCATTTGCTTTGTAAAGGTGTTGTGCAACCAATGTCTGGGAGTAACAATTAATATAATAAATAAATGCTTAATAAATTATATTTGTTAAATGTGCTCGATGTTTGTTTTAAGACTTAAGATACAATTGTCTTTCTTTTTCTTTTGGGAAAGGGGTTTTATTGTGCAACCTCCTTCAAGAAGAACGAGCCTTCTGTTTTCATATATCATATTTTCTCACTTTGACAGCACAGAATTATCACAAACGTCATGTTATGAAACCTAATAATAATTTGTACAGAGACACAATATACTATAAATATTCAAAGGACGATTCTTTAAAAATGTATTAATCTTATTTATTACTATTTCAAACATTTCGACTTCATCATAAAAAAATCGCTTTACTAAACAAAATAAAACCTGACAAATAAATTACTATGGGATAGTCTTTTGTGTTATAACCTACTAACAAATCAGCCATGTTTGTTGTTGTTTCCGTATATCGAAATTCTCAGAAAATGATATTAACATTATAGTACTGTAAGTCCTACTACATCAGCGGACAACACACCAAAGCATACCAAAGAGCGGAATTTCTCAACGACGACTGAACTAGAAGCTTCACATCTTCTCCAAACCAATTGTTATGGCTTTATATGTACAGGCAAATTACCGTATATGGAAGGACCTAACCCAGGAAAGTTCAAGAGAAAATTGACGTAAACGATTGATCAACAGCAAAGAATACCATTTTTAACTTAGGTCACCAGACAAATTCAAAAAGATATATTCCGACAAAAAAAATTTTTAATACTAATATAACATACCGAGATGACTCAGATTTATGTAAAAAAATCATGAGGACCTTATCCAATAAATGTTCAAAATCAAGTAAAATCTATAAACGTTTAATCATTATCGAAAAAAAACATTTTCCATTATTTTTTAACCTAGTCAGACATATTTTTAAAATCGTTATATTCACACAAAGATCATAGTTTTATATTGAACAATAAGGAGACAATGAGGAGATCACCGTGTTTAAAATCTTAGTCTTTGAAAATGGTAACATTTCTGGAAATTGTATTATACTAAGGACTATTATGAGAAACACTTTGAAAAGTTGTGATGATAATAGCATAGGATTCTGTATTTGATTGATTTTTTATCTAGTTCTTTTTACAAGATGCAGCAAAAATAAGTACCCTTAAAATTTTGATGTAACAAGCTTCTAACGCAATTTTCTTGATAGATAATTAAATAATACAATACGCATTTGTATGTATATAACAAATAAAAGTGTCTATTATAATTTTAAATAAATTTATAATTGTGGTTTTAACATTTTTTTAGTCACTCTGGTTACAGACAAAAACAATCTATTGATTTTGTCACTTTAATAGTCTGAAGAGTTACTTTTCTATTGTTCTCGTCTCATCTGTTATTCAACCTGTGAAGGATCATGCATATTGATAAACTAATATTTCATAGGTAAAAACTTAAACCTTAAGAGATGATATTACTGTTAAGTAAAGTTTATACCAACATAATTCCTTTCGTCGTTCCAAGTATAGTTACCTGCTGAAATAACCTTCATATATACGTATGGAAGATATTTGTGGAAGGATAGATCCTGAATAAGTTTGAAATACTTCCCGTGGGTGAAAGTGAACCAGATTTGAATAAAACAATATAAGAATGTTTTAGATAAGTGATTTTTCATTTGTTTTCATCGTGGTAAGTTTTGTTATGTAATTATATATATATATATTTCCTTCGGCCACATCGAAAGACCACTCATTTTTTTAAGGCATTCTTTCTGGAACTGAAGAAGAACTTTATAATATGCAAAAAGCAACATTTTTACAACAAAAACTACCAAAAATATATTTTCTGCAATATGTCTTTAAATCATAAGATCTTTGTACATCAAGAAAAATGTATATTATGGAAATAGTACATTTTAACTTGTTTTTTTCACATTCGATTAGTAATTATTGATACACAAATATATTAGTCTTTGCGGCCATCTTAAAAAGTCATCTCTTGGTTTTTGTAGGATTGTTGTGTCTGTGAGCAAAGCAGATATGATAGGATATAAATTCCTTTTTGTACTTTCAACGAAATTATCATTTATATCAGGTAAATTATAATATCTAATTGTTAAACAGACTCTATGCCTAATGTTGCATAAACATTTCACATCGATCAAATAAAGCAAGACCCCTGTTAATGAAACAACAATCCACATATTTGAAAATTGTCAAACCTGAAGATCATAAAAGGTATAGTCTGAAATAAAATACATTAATAGAGGTATTGATTTTATTAATTTGTCTAGTATTTTAATGACTTCCGTTCAAAACTTTATACCTCCTTATTTTGATAACATAGAGCCACCTATTAATTTTTTATTTCTTAATTATACGTCAGTTACATCAGACTTCATTATAGAAAATAATGTTCCTTTAACATGAGACTGTGAAACATCGAAGTTTAGATATGATCCCTATGACCATGTAACTACAGGGGACCTCAATATCGTTCAAGTCCGAAAGGTTATACACTTTCTGAAAAAAAGCACTAAAATATCGTCCACCGTCGAAAATAAATGGGAAAGAGTGTCGTCAGGTCATTAAAGATGCTCTTTCATCCTTTGGTAAAAATAGGTTTAAACGGAAGAAATCTGACAAAAAGTCACGTGATTCCTATTTAAGTAAATGTCTGAATACTGTTGATATTCGCATAATACATTTCGAAAATAATTTAGATATATATAAAAGAGTCAGTAATAAGCCCATTTCTAGGATTAAAAACAAAATTCAATTTCTCGCAAAGCGTTTTTTGTTCGTACCGACCGACAGAGCAGCCAACAAAATGTGATGGTGGTATGACGTAAATACTACACGGAAGTCATTAAGAATAAAATTATTTATTCAACTTAAATACTTAAAAGAGGCGGAAGATCCCAAGGGGGCATTCAAATCTCATAAGTCGAAGGATACTAGTAACTGAAAACTCCATGGCAAAACCCCCAGGAAAATGACGAACAAACGAACAAGTTCACAAAACTTTACATAGAAAACTAACGAATGAGCAACACGAACACCTGTACAAGAACACAGGTGCCTGTTATAGTCAGAAGTTCCTGCTCCAGATGTGGCACCCGTCGTATTGCTCATGCAAGTACATGTTTAAATAGCTTCCTTGTAAGTATAAACCGTCCATCAAGAAAATCATGATAGGAAACGCAAGCTCTGCAATATCAACTGAGAATTATACGTCATATGCAGGCGCCGCTGGAATGTTGCTACATAGAAATAGAAAGTTAACAATTGGGAAGCTGAAATGACCGTTTTTTGTCGTATTGTTTTGTTTTCAACTGATTTTCATTGTCAATTTGTATATGTAAGTGAAGATATGAGGCAGACTAAACTGTATATTTCAAGTTTGATTGGATAGATATAGTCAACATATAATCATAAAAATTTTGAATAATTTCGAGAGAGGACATTGCCTAGGAAGCTTAAGTGTAATCCTAGCTTGTTTTCATCTTCACGCAAGAAGCTCCTGTATGAAGTCTTCCCATCTTAGTTCTTTCAATCTGTCTTTAAGTTTGACAAGGGTTATATTTGTGTAAAGGGTAGAGAACTAAATAGCGAAACCTCCCGCTTGTATATCAGGTGTTTATAGTTCCGTTATATTGACAAAATTGGGCGAGCAACCCAAACAGACATAGTAGCTAGGTTAATGTGACAATAAAGTGCTTTTCTGGATTAACCTTCACAAGGAACGCTCAAAGCCGAATATTTTGAAAGCCAAGGTAGTATAAGAACCGAAACAGATGAAGAGATTTGGTGGAGCACTTTGCAGACCCAGCAATATAATGATGTTTGTAAATTCTGATATTTAGTACAGTGAAGGCAGATCCTGGAATATTTATACATTTGTAGCTTTCAAATGTTTGGTTTTGTGCGTTCCTGATAAGGTAAATCTAGAAAAGCGCTTCGGACGCACCAGATTTATAAAGTGTTATTTTATACATATCATCATTACATAAAATGACAAGTTTGATCAAGTCATCCTCATATACGAGGTCAAAACATCAAGGTTTGGGTTATACCTGCATTTGTTTCTATTGCAGCATATTAATTCTATTAAAATAATGTAATTACGATACATGATGCGTACAAGTAGAATTCAATATGAAACATTAATATTATAACAATTTGGTAAATAGCTGTCAGAACTTAGTTATGTTGTTATGGTGTGTCATATACCAGCAATAATCGATTGCAACAATAATCAATCTGATTCAAATGCAGTCCACGCTGTGCTCAGAAGGATCTGACAAAAGTCCGTTCTACTTTCTGCACTGATAGTAATTACATACGCTATGAAATTTCCGCCTGCAAATTTTTGAAGATGTGTATCCTTTTGTTGACAAAATCCAAGGGATTACAAAAGGTCTTTAATGCAAGACAAGACCAGACAAGACAAATACTTTATTAAAGTCTCACCACTTGTTACATATAAAATATACAGCATAGTAAAACACAAGTTAACAACAAGAGCCACTCTATAAAGAGTTATGAGCGACTACAAAACAAATTCTTAAGTATAATACAAATACAAGTCAACTATAATGAGTATAAAATACATTTTCGCTTGAATAAAATTTCAGATTTTGGCAGTATAAAATACCATATTTTCATTTGTAAAAAGAAATATCAATTTTTCTTTATCAGGCATATGTAAAAAATCATCAATACTAGCATGATTAAAAATAACATTACGGATATCTGCATATACAGGACAGTTTAACAAAACAGGTTTCTCATCTTCAACATCATCAGTAGAATTAAAACATACTCTATTTTCAATATCAATATTTTCATAACGACCAGTTTCAATTCTGATGGGCGCTACACCACATCTAAATTTTGCTAAGGCACTCCTGTATCTACCAGGTATATTAAAAATCAGATAATTTTCTACACCATATACATTTTTAAACAGTCTACCTTATATATGTACGTAATTTATTTTCATCATTTGACATAATTTTGTCATACCATTTTTACTTAAATTTTTCAATATTCTTAATTAA